GCAAGCCCCACGTTGGGCTGCCAACTGTTACGGCTAAATCTGGGTGCGGGGCTACACTGCCACCCAGCTCGTCGGACTAAGTGTCCGCGGGTCCCTGCGGAAGAAAATGAGCTCAGCCGGACAGGAGCAAACTGCAGAAGATCCAAGTTTATTGCGCAACAGGTTCAAGGTGAGATTGAACAGCGAGAAAGGGGGTGACATGAACTTTTGAAACTCCCTCCATGTCCCAGAATACAGTGCAAAATACATCCCAGTTACATCATGAATACATTAAGGAGAGGTTGGGTTACACTGGATTAACATATGGAGGAGGGAGGGGGGAATATGCAGAGAGCTGGAGATATGGAGGAGGGAGGGGGGAATATGCAGAGCTGGAGATATGCGCAGATAAGCACATCCTGAGAAGACAATGGTCCATGTATGCGTAGTCTGTCACCTGGCATTGCCCGGAGGAAAGGTTTGGCAGAGTGATTTTGACAGGATTAGGGTCTTGACACCTTACTTGAGGCATTATGGAGGACAGGGGAGGGGTGATGGAGTCCTAGAGAAATTGAGCAAATATATTGTAGTGAAGAAGACATGCCCCCCCCTTCCGTAACAGTGTCTTTACTTTTTGTCCAAGGGAGCCCTCAGATTTTTCCGGTAACAATATATAATTTTGTTCTTAATATCATGTTGTATGAGATCCTGAGCTTTTCGGAATAAGAAAGATTGCAAATTTGACTTATTTAATAAATAACTGTAAATACAGTTAAATGTAGTGCAAGTTCTAAGCCTGCTCTGCGTGCTGTGGTCGTCCCTGCCCCCCCCCTTCCGTTCACCTCCCTGGCAAAATATGTTTATAAGGTGTTTTTGCAGAGCAGTACAGCAGGCTGGCTGTATTGATTCTGGTACCATGTCAACTGTAGTATTAGTAGCTGCTCTTTAACTAGGACAATTTATTAAATAAAGAGATTTTTTTCCACATTAAATTCTGATTTGACCTGTAACCAGTTTCTGTTTCCTTGTATGCTGTATTCAAAGAAACCATGCTTGTGTATTTCTTTGTGGTAACTTCTGCATTTAGTGGATTTAATTTAATGGATCCCCAAGAGCTTATTTATTGTCTCCAGCTCCTTCCTGACACAGGTGGGAGATGGTAATGAGTCCCTCTGAGAAGCGGCTTGGCTGAGTTGTTCCAGGAGGACAAAAAGGAAACAGATCATTTTTCTTAGTCACAAAATTATTGTTGTCCACTTCTTTTTAAAGTATAGAGATTTGATTGAATGCCTCTCTTGGGGCTGAATCTTGTGACACATTTTTTAAAAAACTGAGCTGGGAATCATTTCACATCTGCCTGCACACACAGAGAGGGGAAAACGTCTTGTCTGAATGGATGAGATGGAGATCTTGTTTGTGCCCACACAAAGTCTGAAGTTCCAAATTGATTTCATGGACCACGTAAATATATTACTCTTTATTTCATGCATCTTTTAAAAATCCATGTTTTTTTATGAAGGTGGCGGAAGAAATCCAGAAAGCTGGGAGGCCTGCAGGGAAAGAAAACAAAACTGTAGAAGAGGGGCCCAGTCCTCTGTCCCTCCTCTGGCTCCATCTAGTGACAAAGGGAAATGCAGAATGATGCATATTCAGGGTGCTGGGGGTTTGCGATTTACCCCCAAAGGAACTGCACTTACCAGAGTGGGCTACCAGGATGCTCTGGAGGAGTCCTGGGAACTATAGTTTGTTCAGGGCACCAGAAGTTGTTTGGAGGCTGCTAGTTCTTCCGTGAACTACAATTCTCAGGACCATTTGGCAGAAATCGTGGGAACTATAGTTTATTTAGGACACCAAGGGCTGTTTCCCCCATTGAGCTACAGTTCCCAGAGTTATTTAGGAAGAGGAATGGGCTTTTAGACCTGTTTTGGGAACCGTAGTTCTGCGCAGGGTATCACAACCCTCAATGCCCTGAGCAAGCAATAGGCCCCAGCATGCTGGGAGCTGTAGCTTGCTCAGGATGTCCAAGTACAACTCCTAGAGTCCCCTTGGGAAAGGCTGCAGCGAATATTCTCTGCCCACATGGGAAACTACAGTTCCCAGGTTGCCTTAAGGGATCTGCAAGGGGAATCAGGGTCCTCTCTCAATTACAGCTCCCAGAATCCTTTGGGGAGTTGTAGTTTTCTGCGAGCTCGACAGGCCCCCTCCCCGCCCTGGAGCGGCAGGCGGCGCTGCTTCCGTGGAGCCTCCAGGCTCGGAGGCAGTCTATCTGGCTGCTCTGGCCGCGGAGAGGGACCAAGAGGGCGACTTAGCCGCCTAGATCTACGCCACGGGGGCTCCCATCCCGGAAGCGCAGCACTTGCGGAGGAGAGAGACGCCCGCCCTCCCTGCCTCTCCTAAGATGGCGCTCGTTCCGGCAGGGCGCCGTGCCCTCGTCCAAGATGGCGGCGGCGCCTTACCCGCCCTCTCCCGCCCACCGTGCCTCTCCTAAGATGGCGCCTTGGGGCCGAGAGAGCTCCGCCGCCTCCGCGCCTCTCCCCAAATGGCGCCCCTTCCGGGAGGGGACCTGCCCTCGTCCAAGGGACGAAGCCCCGCTGCTGCTCCGGCCGAGGCCGAGCCCCCCCCCTACTGGCGCGCCCATGATGCGGTGCAGGCGCGACATTTCTCTTGTTATTAAAGATTTTCTTGGTTTACAAAAGTGCATGCCTTGTCTCTTTTTTCCAGGTTGTGCAGTCTTTCTTCCAGATCAGTTACATTTGTGGAGAGACACGAGTGTTGAATGCAGAACAAGTATAAGGTTGGGGAGGGCGAGGGGGGGGAGGCTTATATAGTACATTCATTTGTTTAGTCTAAGTGTGGGGTTTTGTGTCAGCGTCTACTGGGTAGGTTCTCTTTGTATTTGTTTATTACATTTCCTTGGTAGTGAGAGGCGTTGGGGGGCAGGGTGGGGTTGGTTGTCTGCAGTGGGGGGGGGGGCTTGTTGGGTCAGGTAAGCCAGATTGATTCCTATGCTGTCGGTGGATTCTTCTTGTTGTCTTGTTGGGCTGTGTATGTGATAAAGATGAGCCATACTGGGGTGAAGGCGTCCTCTTCTATTTGTCCCCAGGTCAGTTTCAGTTTATTGGTTATCTTTTCTAGAAAAACCATTCCCCATACAATTTGATACCTTTGGTCCATGTTTACTCCTGACAGGTCCCTCCAGTGTCTGGCTACAAGGCTTATGGCTGTTGAGAGCAGGTAGGTTATAAGCTCTCTAGAATGTGAGTGGTCATTTCGATTTTGGAAGATGTTCCTTATGCCCAGTTCTGGGGTGAGTTCTAATACCTGTTAGTTTTTTTGCATATCTTTTGTAGAACTGCTATCCAGAAGGGTTGGATTTTAGGTTATTCCCACCCCATGTGGAGGTATGTGCCTGTGGAGGTGCAGTAGCTTCTCCAATAATAATTAATAATGATAATTTATTATTTCTACCCCGCCTGTCGGGCTGGGTTTCCCCAGCAACTCTGGGCGGCTTTCAACAGAACAGTAAAAACAGAATAAAACTTCAAACATTAAAATCCTGGGCATATCAGCGCCAGTTTCCAGGGTGTTAAGTACCACCTGCAGGTGAGTTTCAGAGTGAGTTCCCTTCTTTTGGCTCATAGTGACCTAAAAGGAGGTTTAGGCCACATTCTAGTACATTGGGTGGGCTTAATTTCATAGCCTATGTCATCTTCCCATTGTTCTTTGATTGTGTCAAGGGGGTTTGTGGGATTTTGGAGCCATATATTGTATATTGTGGATACCATCCCTTCGCTGTGTCCCTCTGCTGTCAGGAGGTCTTCGAAGATGGTCAAGGGCCTAGTGGCTACTGATTTTAGAGCTGGATTGTTTAAGAAGGCTGCAGGCACCACGTTTGAATGACAATGCCCATCAGCTAAGGGAGCAGCCCCCTCAAATATTTTATTGTTGGGGCCGAAGACCCCACAGCCCCTGGGAGTTGGCTCCTGTGTTGGCCACTGTGGGAAAAGGATGCTGTGAACTGCCCTGAGATCCATAGGTGGAGGGCGGCTCACATTTAATTGCTGGTGGTGATGATGATGAATCTGTGGGCCCCCCTTGGCCTGATCCAGCAGAGTTCCAATGAGGAGGAGCCAGGCGGCCAGCGCCCCAAACAGATATTTGGGGGGGGGGCAATGCTTGGCTGCGGCTCCTCTGGGGAATGATCAGCTGCTTAGCCCTAATGGCCGGCCGAGGATCAACTGGGTTGTGAAAGGCCCCGAGGCAGGTGCGCCCGCAGCACGGCTTGAACAGCTGCCGCGTCAAGGACCGAGAAAGTACGTCAGTGGAGCCGGTGACGAGAGGCAGCCCGGAGGGTCCTGGACGGGGGCGGAGGGACCTGGCAAATGTACCCCCCCCAGCACACGCCTTGCCTCACAATGACATCACAGAATCACAAAAGGGCAGAGCGGGAAGGGGCGCCAAGGGTCATCGAGTCCGACCCCCTGCAAACCTCCCTGCCCCCCCCCATAATCCCGGAGGGCTTTCCCCACGTGCAACTTCGGGTCTGCTTTGCGCGGCTCTTCCTTACTCTGCGCCTCCCCCCAAAAATAAGCCCATAGGGCGCCAAAGAGCGCCCCCTCGACCCTGGCCGGGGCCTGACGTCGGCGGGGGCTCCTTGTTGCCCGAATTCCCGGGCTCCGGCCAGTGGCCACTCAGGTCCGGGGAACCTGCTGCCCTGGCGGGGAGGCGAGGCGGAGGCGGCGCCAACTGGGCGGCGCTGGGCGGGCAGACGGTCTCCACGACGGAGCGCGGCTGGTGCTGCTGCAGGGATCGCGTTGCCTCTCCTGCTGCTGCTGCCGCCGCCGCCGCCGCCCGAGCAGTCTCCGCAGCGGAACCGGGCCTCGGCCGCTGGGCAGGGCTCCTCGGCTGGGCTCTGCGGACGCCTCGGCCCGCCTGGATGGAGCCGCGAGGCGGCGGAAGAGCAGGAGGCTCCGCAGCCGGGAGCGCGGCGCTGGCACTGACCCGTCCGGCGGGAGCCGCTGCGGCGGAGACTGCGGGGGGCCCCGCGCTGGCCGCCCCCTGAGCGCCCGGAGCCTCGCCGGGCTCCATGAGCAAGTGCTGCGCCCGTCCGCGGCCATGGCTTCCCTCCCCGCGTACCTCAGCCCGGCGGCCGTGCTGGTGCTGGTCAGCTGCGACCTGTGCCTCGTGCGCGCAAGTAAGTGCCGGGCCTCCGGGCTGGGCGGGAGGCGGGAGAGAAAAGGCCCCCGGGGGTCAGGATCGGCGCCCGAGACCAGCGCGCTCTCCCCACAAGCGCAGGCCCGGCTGGCCGTCTCTCGGGCCGCTGGCCTTGGTGCTGAACCCGGGCTGCTCCGCACCCCGACGAGGGTCGTCGGAGGGCGAGGGAGGGGGTCTCTTGGGCCCCAGCTCTGCCCTGCCCTGCTCGGCTGCGTCACTGGCCGCCCATTACCCGCGGAAGCAGCCGGATCGGGGCAGCAGCGCCGCGGCCAAGGCAGGCTCGGGCCCCTCTCGAAGCGCCTTCTTCCCGGCAGCCGCGAGCGGAACCCCGGCCAATTTCATTAGAGTAAAAGCCTGGCTCCAGGGAAGGCCGCGGCTGCCAGCTGGCCTCGCTTAGGTGAGAAGGAGCCTCTGCCCACGTCCCCGGCCTCCGCCTCCTCTCGAGAAGTGGCAAAGGTCTCTTGGCAGGGGGCAACTCCTGGCACCCTGCGGCCACTCCGCTGCCCTTGACCCACGAGGAGAAGGTGACTCTGGCCCATTCTGACGCCCGACGCCCCCAAACCGCACTTGACCCATGAGACACCCCACGCACGGTCACGATCCCCTCACTCTGGCCGACCCCAAAGCGGCGGCTGTTGCTTTACTTCCAGCTGCCCAAGACGAGGGTCCCGACTCTCCCTCGCTTGGAGAAGGACACCTTTTGACCTCTCTCCACCCACCCGGGGCTTCCACGCCGGCTTCCGCCCCCCAGACTCCCCTGCTTGGCGGGCCCGTCTTTATAATGCATAATAGCTGACTTTGAGCCGAGGCCCCTAGGAGTTGTAAGTGCGGCTTGCAAGGAAAGTAGGTGGTTGTCAGGAGCTGCCATTCCCGGGGAGTCTGAAACCAGGCAGGTCTGGCGAGAGGGACCTATTGGCAGTCAAGCCCGCAGAGTTCCAAGAAAGACATTTATTCGTTTACTGCTCAAATAGATGGCCCTCCTGCTTCTTGCCTGGTGCCCTCAAAACAGAAGTTTCTCAGATGAATGGCTTAAAATACAACTGCAGGAGCAGGAGCAGAAGGGGATCCATGGAGGGTTCCTTGCCTCCCCTCACTCTCCACCCCGGATCTCCTCTGGAGAGGGAGCTGGAGGCAGGGAGCGGCCCTGTGGCCGAGGTCAGGAAAGGGCAGCCCAGCCAGGGCAGGAGGCAACCTGCTGCCTCTTTCCCCCAAAGAAAAGGGGCCTCTGTGGCTGAAGGGGGGGCACAGCCAGGGGACCAAGCGGAGTCCAGGGCGCGCGGTTTTGCCAGGACTCTGATGAAACGGGAGAGCGCAACTGTGACAGCTGAGCGGGCGGGAGGCGCCACTGGCGGGGAGGTCGGCTGGAAGAGAAGGCGAACCGCGGAGTCCAAAGGTGGAAACTCTCGGAGGAGGTGAAGCCCTGGGAGGAGCAGGTGTTTCTGCGGGATGGAGGGTCTTTCCTTGTTTCACGGCTCCCTACAAGGCTCTCCCCCTCCGCTGAGCCACTCTCCCTCTTTCCCCTTGGGGAGGCAACAACCTTTCGCCCTTCCGAGTAAAAGATGAATAGGGGGGCACAGCGAACATGGAGCAAAAAATAAGAAAAGAAAATATGCTGGAACAATATTTTTCAGACAATTCTTAATTGATCTTTGGAACTCACTGACCCAGTATTATCCTCCTCAAAGGAATATTCCTGTCTCCACCAGCAGGTCGTTCCACCACCAGTTTCCAGTTTCCCTTCTTCAGCTTGCAGTCAGAATCTCGGGCCTAGCGAGCCCCTTCCATCTTGGTCTTCAGTCCATTGTTCAACACAAATAAAGCGCCCTGGGCTCATAACCTTTAATCGGCTCTGTCTGGGTCTCGTTTCTATCTGTACTCACCACCGGAGTTCACGTTTAGAGGGGAAATGGCTTTAGTTTTCAGATTAAGTTCTTTCTTTCTTTGTTTTTTAAAAACTAAAGCTCAAAGCAGCTTGCACGAAAGCACTGCGTTGCAAGATGATAACTCTTAGCTCTAAAATGACACCTTCAGTATAACAGCACCAAGGACGCGGACGCTGCCGTCCAGGCCCTGCTCCCCTCCGTCTCTAGGGGTGCTAAATCCCATGGAAAGGCCGCTGCTCCCTGGACAAAGTCCTCCCCGCAGCAGCACCAACTTGTGCCAGCCCCCAGGAGGGCGGAGATGGAAGGGACCCCTGGGGTCATCCAGTCCAGTCCTGCCCAGCCACCAGTGACCCTTCCATCCCTGCTTGCCTCACAGATCGGCCCCCGTCGCCCGTCAACGTCACCGTCACCCAGCTCAAGGCCAACTCCGCGATGGTCTCCTGGGATGTCCCGGAAGGGGACGTCGTCATCGGCTACGCCATCTTGCAACAGGTGAAGCTGGAGGAGGAGGAGGCGGGGGCGGGGCGGGGGGGGCGCACCACTCCTCTGTCCCGCAGCCCCACCGCCCCCTTGCTTCTCGCTTCTCCAACCCCTTTGTCAGCCAAGGGGGGCTATGTTCTCTTCCCTCCCTCCCTCTCTCTGCCCTCACCCGTCCTGACGGCCTCCCCCCCCCCTTTCCGGCAGCGGCAGGACGGGCAGATGCAGCGCTTCATCCGGGAGGTGAACACGACGACGCGGGCGTGCGTGCTCTGGGACCTGGCCGAGGATGCCGACTACGTCATCCAGGTGCAGAGCATCGGCCTGCACGGCGAGAGCCAGGCCAGCAAGAGGGTCCACTTCCGCACCCTCAAGCAGAGTGACCGCCTGCCGTCCAACAGCTCCAGCCAGGGTAGGCGAGGCGCCCGGGCGACCTTCCCCTCTCCCACCCCACGCCCTCCGGAGCCTCGCTGACCGGCTGGGCGCCCCTGTCCCCCTCCAGCGCCGCCTGTCTCCCCCCAGTCACTCCCGGGCCTCCTCCGGGGGCCAGAAGCTCCGTGGTGCCTCCGTCCAAGGCGGGTGGGGCCCCCTCAATGACCTGCGAGACCCCACCCAGCCTGCAGCTGCTCTCCCCTCCTTGCTCTTCCCCGGCTCTGAAAAGATCCCCTTGCCTCGCCCGACGGGGCGTCCCTCTCTCCGCAGGAGACATCACCATGGAGGGGCTGGACAAGGAGCGGCAGCTGCAGACGGGCGAGATCGTCATCATCGTGGCTGTGCTGTTCATGTGGGCAGGTGAGGCGGGTGGGAAGCTCTCTTGGGCCTCGTCCAGCAGGCTCCGCTTATGTTCCTTACGGGTGTGTGAGGATCCCACTAGCGCTGGCACGGAGTTTGCCTCTGGGTGCACAGCCAAAGTTCCTTCTTCTGTGCTGCATCTTTTGGCTACCGTGCTTTGCACGGAGGGGCCACGCCTGACAGCCTCGCGCGTCCAAATGAAGCATCCCGTTGAACGCGGCTCCGTCAGAAGAGCCCAGCAGCAGCAGCAGCAGCAGGATCAGGCCCAAGCGAGCGGGGACACCTCAAAAAGTGGCTACCCAGTTTGCAAAGAGGACCTGAGCAAAGCGCAGCCCTTTCCTCCTCCCCGCTTGTGATTCCCGGTCGGGTGCTTATGGTGGGGCGCACCCCAAGTTCCCGATGGGCAGTTGGCATCTGGGTTTGGGTTTTGACGAGCATTGTGCAGAAGCAACAGCTCTGAGAGGATAAAATCGCCGCGAATCTGAAGAGTCGCCGGATCAAGGCGATGCGCGGGAGATTGGGTAGAAATGCTTATTTCGGGGCGCAGGGCCGAAGGAACGCGAATTCCCTTTTCTGACTGAGCTGTGTTGAACTTTTGCGCAAATAAAAGATCTGGGAAGCCACCAGCCACTGACTCCAGCATGTCAAAGGGCGGGGGCGGGGGGAGAGACCCTGGCGCGATGGAGGCCCCTCCTCACCTTCCTTCCTCCTTGCTTCCGCAGCGGTGATCGCCCTCTTCTGCAAGCAATACGACATCATCAAGGACAACGACTCCAACAACAACAAGGAGAAGAGCAAGCCGGCCTCGGAGCACAGCACGCCCGAGCGGCCCACCGGGGGCCTCCTCCGCAGCAAGGTGGGGGCGGGCGGGGCCGTTTCGGAAGGGGAGAAGAGGGAGCTTGGCTCAGCCCACCATCGCCGGGGAGGGGACCAGGGCGGAGCTCGACGGCGGGCAGCCCAGCCCGAGACAGCGGGGCCGGAGCTGCTGCCCGGTCCTCGGGGCTCTCGGCGGCTGGAGCGGGTCTGTGCCGCCACCGCCTCCTTCTCCTCCGGATGCTGGTTGCGCGGCTGCAGCAAAAGCGCGGCGCCGGGTGCCGTCGGGGCTCCGGGGAAGCCGGCTTTGGCCGAGTTGGGTCGCTAGGAGCGCTCTTCCTCGGCAGCAGCCGGCCTGAAGGGCGCCGGAAGCGAACCCACCCAGGGCGGGTTGCCTCTTGCAAGGGGAAATGAGAGGTGGGGACTTTGGAGACGCATTTTTCGAAAGAGCGAAGGTGCCGGGCGCTCTCCAGGGCAATGGGGGCGATGCTGCAAAGGAGGCGCCGCAGTTCCGCTGCGGGGGAGGGGCACAGCCTGGCCAAGAGGGAGCGGGAGGCGTCGGGGCCCCCAATAGCTCTGGGGGTCCTGCTCGCTCCCACGACCCTCTCTCTCTCCCTTTTTCAGAAGATGAAATCGCCCTCTGTCAACATCATCGAGGTGTAGCTGAAACTCGCGGGGACCTCAGTGGCCTCGCCCTGCCACCACCGTCGCAGCCTCCTGCTTCCCTGCATGCAAAGAGTTCCTGCTTCTTCTCGCCCCAAGAGGAGCAGACCTGCATGGAGCCCGCCGGGGCCAAAGTGCATGCGGAAAGCCCCTCTCGCCCAACCCTTCTCTCTGGGGCCACCCACCGCTACTATCCGAAGAGCCTCGTTGCGGGAGCTGAAGGCGCGACCTCGCCCAGCCCCCCTGCAGCTTCACCATGGAAACTCTGGACTGGGCCCTGAGCGGGGCCACCACCCAGAAGACCATGCTGGGCAGACTTTGTCGCCTCCCTCAAGAGTTCCCTTCAGCCCCTATGCCTTCCCACCTGCCCCCTCTCACCTGCCAGCTGCCCTTGGCTTCCTCTTGGGGAGGTACCAGCTGTGTGCCAACTGCCTTTGCCCTCCCCCTCCAGCCAAAGCCAGCCCACCTCCACCTTCTTCCTTCTCAGCAAGATCAGGAGGGGTCCCTTCCCTCCTGGCAGCTGGAGAACTGCCACCCACCACCTCCCCCTGGCCACATCCAGGAGGAGCCCCCCCCCGTGACACATGAGCACCCAGCACCGCCTTCCAGGAATCCAGCGCTTCCGGCCTGAAGGCTCAGCTCAGAGCGCTGCGTTGGGAGTGGCAGGTGGCCTTTCGGTCCTGGCAGAGAGAGAACAGCTTGCAGCCCCATTTGCCTATTTCAGCTGTGGGGCTGAGAGCAGCTCAGGGCCCTTTGCCTGGAGGTCAAGCCACCCCATCCCACCCTCCCCTCAGGACAGGCAGCTCTCCGCCTCCCCAGCTGGGCAGCAAAAGACCCTCTTCTGCCTCCCTGCTGCTCCACTTCCCCCCACCCCAGCCAGAGAACCTACTTTAACAAGTGAAGACCCTCGCAGGCTCCCTCCCCTTGCACAGCAAAGAGCAGTGGTGGGAGCTGTGGAATCCCCTGCTTGCCCACCTTGCCGCCCCACAGAAGGGCTGCCCCCAGGCCCACTTGGCTTGCTTCTCCCCCCTTGGGAAGGGCCTGCCTGGCACAGCTCACCCGAAGAGCTCTGGAAGTGGCTTGCAGGTGGTGCCAGACTGGTGAGCCCCAGGCAGGTGAGCCAGGAATCCCGGCCCAGGAAGGAGACAGATGGTGCTATGCCCCCCACCCCCCTGTGTGCCAGTCGGGCTCCCCCAGAGATGGCCGCCTGTGCCACTCGCTGCCCCTTTCCCCTGTGGGCTGAGGCCTCTGCAAGGAAAGACACCCAAGTACAACAACAGTAGAAATGGTTTATTTCCCTTTAGAAAAGGACATTAAAAACTAGTCTTTTTGCTACAAAGCTGTGATTTGGCAGTGATGAGCAGCTGGTGGGGAGGGGAGGGGGCTGCCTTCCCACCAGAGCTGGACGGCAGGGCGGGTGGGGGGCAGCAGAGGGAAGGATTTATCTACACTCAACACAGCCCTCCTCAATATGGGGTGGGTGAGGACTGATGGGAATCTGAATGCTGCCCCCCCCAATGTTCAGGCCTCAAGAGCACCATGAGGAGGCCTGGTGCACCCCCCCCCCCGCAGGAGAGGTCCTGGGGCTGAGGACCCCTGCTGAATGCCCCACAGGGTGCTGTTGGGGTTCCCCAGGCCAGCAGGGCGAGGGGCTGGACTGGGGTGCTGCTGAGGGTCCGAGGCAGGCTGGACCAGGTTCCCAGGGGTGGGGGCAGCTGGTCCTTGTGGGTGACAGACAAGGGGCAGCAGAGGCTGTGCTGGAGATGAGCAGCGAAGACACGGTGAGTGGCAGGAGAAAGATGAGGAGAAGCAGCCTCAGAAAAATGTCCCCGGAGGCAGGCAGCTGCTGGGGGGGCTGCAGCCCCAGGCCGCCACTGACTGGAAGCGGGCAACTGGGGAGCCCCCAAAGGCAAGCCCCCCCACACCTGAAACACACAAGGGCATTGAAAGGAGCCACTCAAGAGGAAGGAAAAAGAGAGAGAGAGAGACGGGAGGGAGAGAAACCGACAAATGGAAGAGTCCATGTGAAAATGCAGGGGAACCCCCAGCTCCCCTGGAAGAAGGGAAATGAAAAGCCTTCAAAGGGATCCCCCCACTCCTTCATCCCGAGCAAAGGTTGAGGGCGGGGCCATGCTGGGGGGGGTCAATGGTTACCTGTGGTGGGGCGGCCCCTCTCCTCTACGCGGCTTGGGGCAGAGAAGAGACAAAGATCAGAGCAGCAGCAGCAGCAGCAGCAGCAGCAGCAGCAGCAAGGAGAGCCCCCCCCCAGCCAGACCATTTCCTACTCCACAAGCCCTGCAGCAGCCCTTCAATGTGTCCCCCCCAGAAACAGAAAACCCACACCTCTGACTGCCTTGCCCCCCAACCAACAGGGGACCTTGATGCAGCCAACAGGCCCCTACCCAGAGAAGGCTTCATTGAGATCTTCCTCCTCCTCCTCCTCCTCGTCCTCCTCTTCTTCCTCCTAGGGCCAAAGAAAGCCAGGTGTCTGCCAGGCCCCTCAGAGAGAGCAGGCAGCCCCCGCTGACACACAAAGGGCGGGGCTGGTGAGGGAGGGAGCCTCTTGGCCCTGAGAGCCAAGGGGGCCTGGCAGTGGGGCAGCAGGTCACTCCCAATACCCTACCTCAAAGTTGGTCTTGAAGGGGGGGCTGCCAAGGGGTGACCTGCCAGGCGGGCGGGTGCTTTCCACCGGGGGGCACAGCGGACTCAGGGAGGGCTTCTTCTCCCCCTCCCCTTCCCTGGAGCCTGGTGGAGAAAAAATGCCCAGAGGCTGAAACCCCCAACAGCGCCCCCTCCCTTTCCCAGTTGACATGAAGACCCCCTCCTGTGCCCCCCACCATCCTCACCACCCCACAACCTTGGAAAAGAAGGGTGCACCGGGGGGGGGTGGCAAGAGAGCCACCAAGGAAGCCAGACGGGAGCAGGTCGCGGGTTTGGCATAGCGATGGCAAGGGGCATGGCCCCCATCCGTACCTGCCTGCGCAGCCTCCCAGAGATCCAGGGCCACCTGGAAGGCCTGAGCCACCGTCAGAGTCACAGCCTGGGCCTGCATGGGCGACACGAGGCAAGAGAAGGCGACCGGGGCAGCTGGCGAGGCAGCGCCCTGCAAAGGGCCCTGGGAGGGAGGTGGGGAACCCTTCTGCGGGGCATGCAGGGGCAGAGGGGCCAACCAGCGAGCAAAGCCCACCCCAAAAGAGAAGCGCAGGACCCAGCCCTCCCCAGGGGGCGAACGCAACGCTTACGATCTTCTTCTTGGGCGACAGAAAGGCGTGGCACTCGAGGGCACCGCTCTGGGGGTTCTGTGCCACGTAGGCAAAGACTTTGTTCTGCAGCTTGTCTGTGGTGCAATAGGAAATCCTGAAAGAGGGCGGGAGAGGAGGCAGCGCTCGGCATCCCCACACCAAGCACCCCTGGCAGGGCAAGGGCAGGAGGGGCTCAGGACGGGGCAGGGGGCCGTGGGAGATGGCCACGTTGCTGGGCATGCAGGACTAAGGCAGCACCATGAGAGCATTTTGCCCCAGCAGTGGATTACGAAAACCGGAAGAGCAGAAAATGTTCCTGTCCTGCAGGCAGCAGAAGCTGGAACTGGGGAGCAGGGAGGGAGCATGATGGGGCTCCCCAGCAAACCACGTCCCCCAGGACAGCAGGTCTTTGTTCCAAAGGAGACGCCTGCGGGCTGCCCCTCACTTGGCTTCCGCAGTGCCCAACTGGGTGCATGCCTGCTTGCTTTCTATGCTTGCTTACAGCCCACCCAGCCAGCCAGCGGGCAAGTCCTCAGCCAGGCAGCCGTGCAGAGAGGGGCTCAGACAGGCAGCTCCCTGGCCTCCAGCAGCCCTACCTTGCAGAAGCATCCTCACACACCTGTAGATGGAGATGGTCTCAATGGTCTCCTTGGTCTCAGCGTCTTGCAGAGAGAGGCCTCGTGGGGAGACAGTCAAGATCACCTTCCGGAATTTCTTGGGCCCCACCCGAGCCTGAGGAATGAAGGAAGAGATGGGGAAGGAGGTCTCCTGGATAATCACAGAAGACCCCCGAGCCCAGCCCTCAGCTCCTAGCAGACTTCCAAGAAGCGCCCCCCCCCCCGCTTCACCCTGCACCCATCCTGTGAAAGAGGCAGGCTGGAGCACAGAAGGAACTCAGGAAACATTCCATTTTTGGCAGACAGAGAATTCCCACTGGGAGGCATCTCCATCTCCTTTTCCGTAGATTTGTCCAATCCCCTTTCAAAGATAGTTCTAGGCTGGTGCTCATCATCACACCTGGAGACAGCATGTCAGGACAAAACCCTTTTCTCCAAATCAGGAAGCCCCAGGTGCAGTAAGGTTTCTTCCAATCCCTGCACCATTCGGGCTGCCCTTTATTCTGGCTCTACAGTAGCTTATTTTCTTAGGTTGGGAAACCAGAACAGATCTGATCTTCACTAAGATGCGTAGCCAGTGGCTCCTGAAACCAGCCCCCGTGGCATCAGCAGTGAGTCTGTCTGAGGGGAACAAGACCTTCAGCGAGCCCCTCAGCCAACTTTCACAGATTCCTCAACCGCAACATTCCTTCAAGAAGACGGCTTTTTCTGAGCTACTTCCAAACATATTAGCTGCAACGTTCTTTATGTAGGTCTGCCCTTAAAGGGAGCTTGATCTGTTGACAGTTTTCTCTGGCACCAAACGATCCAGGCACGTGACTCCTCCAATCTTGTCCCAGATTCCCTGGTTGCTCTTGATCATGTCGAGGCTCAGTTCAAAGTAGAAAACAGGAGAGACCAGAGGCCTCCAAGGGAAACCCAAGAGCAGGATTTCCAGCAACTGGAATCCTGCCGCCTTGATTGTGGAGGCAGAGCAGTGGCCATGGCCAGCCCTCTCCCCCTCTTAACCCAGGGTCTCTCACACTTGGGTCTCCAGCATAGCTGTCAACTTTTCCCTTTTCTTGCGAGGAATCCTATTCGGACTAAGAGAATTTCCCTTTAAAAAAAGGGAAACGTTGACAGCGATGGTCTCCAGCTGTCTTGAGACTACAACTCCCAGGGTCAGTGGTCTGGGATGGTGGGAGCTGTAGTCCAAAAGCCGCCCGGCTGGTGGCCACCCCCGCCTCCCGCGAGCCTCGGGTCTCCCTTCCGCCTCCTACCGTGGCCAGGATCCGGTGGATGGCGGCGCTGGCCATGTCCTCCCCCTTGGGCTTCTCCACCAGCGTCATGCCCAGGTACTTGAGGGCGAAGCCCATCCCCTCCAGCAGCGGCTCCCGCATGTCGGACCACGACTCCGGCAGCTCTGCGGGGAGAGAGGCAGGGAAGGGGCGCGGGGCCCGTCAGACCACCGGGAGGAGCAGGGCGGAGGAGGCAGCCCCGAGAGACGCCCCCCGGCCCGGCAGGGAGCCTCCTCCGGCCCCGCGCCCCCCCCCGAGTCCCACGTGGGGCTCCGCGGCGGGGAGGGACTCACGGTGGCGGCGGAGGCGGGCGACGCCCAGGCGGTGTCGGGCGAGGCTGGGGCTCCGCAGCACGGCCCGGCCCGCCGCCCGCAGCGCCTCCATCGGGAAGGGACCGGACGGGGCGGGCGGGCGGGGCGGACAGAGGGAGGCAGGCAGGCAGGGAGGGAGGCAGGGGCTCCGCGGCGACGCCGGCCTCCTCCTCCTCCTCCTCCTCGGCTGGGCCAGGGCGCATGCGCGGCCAGCACCCTCGCCCACAGAGATAGGAACGGGGAGAGGTGCCGGGAGGACTCGGAGGAGAACTGCGCCCGCCCCGAGCAGCTCCTCCTGCCCGAGCCCGGAAATCCCCCTCCAGATGGGGGCGGGCGCCACTCCGCCCTTTAGTTGATCTCTGGGCCTCGGCGCGCCCTTCCTCCTTTCACGCCGCGCGGCGCTGCTGACGTCATCAGAGGCGGCCGCTTTCCCGGGGCGGTTGCTGGGGCAACGGGCGGAGACGCCGCGCGGCCTGCGGGGACGGGAAGGCGATGCAGCTGCGCCACGTCCGGACCCTGCTCACCCCGCAGGTGGGGCCCTTGGGGGCCCGCTGGGCATCAGCCTCCGGGGAGAGGGCCGGGCCAGGCGGGGAAGGGGGTCCCGGGGCGGGGGGCGCCTCTTGGGGGCGGCGCCTGCCGTGGCTGCTCCGGCCTGGGCGGCGTCGCTGAGCCTCGGCATCTTCCTCCTCTTCCTCCTCCTCCTCCTCCTCCCAGGATGGGGCCGCCAAGGTCACGTGCATGGCGTGGGCCCCCAACAACGCCAAGTTCGCCGTCTGCACCGTGGACCGCGTGGTCCTCCTCTACGACGAGCACGGCGAGCGGCGGGACAAGTTCTCCACCAAGCCCACCGACCCCAAGGTAGCTCAGCCAGCGCTGCCCCCCCGCCCCGCGACTCAGTCCCAAGGGGAGCCGCCATCGGAGCCCCCGGGAGACATGGCTCTGGCAGCAGAGCCCTTCTCAGCCCCGGTCGTTGTTGGGGGGGGTGACCCCCAGAGCCTCCGGGGAACAGGTCCTGCCTCAAGCCCCTTAAGGAAAGAGACACACGGAGCAGGCGACTTGCCCTAAGCCAGGGTGCCCCCCCCAGATATGGCTGAACTGCATTGTCCGTCCCCCCCCCCCACTGGCTGTGCCCCACACCTCAGGCTGGTGGCAGTTTGGAGTCCAACAACCCTTGGAGGGCAAGGGCTGCTCCCCATCCCTGGCCTCCAGAAGGGGCTGCTGCAGAGCCTGTGGGTTCAGTCTTGAGCCCCAGGGGGTGGGGGGAGACAAGCAGCCTTGCTGGCCAGCTCTGGGCTCTTTTGGGAGGTAGGACAGAAACAGAATTTTTAAAAATGCTTCTAGTGTCACCAAACCGTGGTAACTTGGTTCTTTTGAAATCCAGAGAGACAAGTGATATCCCGTATGTTATAGGATTTTCAGTAAGACACATCGGAGACCAGATCTGGGTTTATACACTTCTCATATAACATTTATTTCATATAGTCAAGTATACATTAATGCATTGGTACCAAGAGGTTGAAACACTCACGCATTCACACAAATACTCACCCAAGTGGCAGTAATTCAGCTGATAAGCAACACCAGGAGAAAAGTGTTTAATGGCACTGGAGCTATTGGGTCTTCCTGTACCTGGAGCCGGTCAAAAGGCAAAACTGTCATTGGGCAACACAAAACTGTGGGATGAAGGTGTTGACGCCTCCCAGCCGTCAGGTCAAGAGCAGCTCCTGAACTCATAGCTTGCCGCCACACATGTGTGCTCTCGGCTGCCCTGACCCTCTGCTGGAGGGGGCAGAATGAACCCCCAAAGCCCTCCCAAACCCAGGGACACTTCAGTGACAGATGAAGGCAGTAGCAAGTAAAGTTGCAAAGCAACTTAAACCAAATACACACGACCACTCACTGTGGCAACGATGGCAGGTGAGTCTGTGGAATCTCAGAATGGGTCCTCACTCCCGCCTTTATCCCTGTGTCCTCTCGTCCCCTAGTATGGCAGGAAGAGCTATGTGGTGAAGGGCATGGCATTCTCCCCAGATTCCACAAAGATTGCTGTTGGGCAGACGGACAACATAATTTTCGTCTACAAGATTGGGGAGGAATGGTAAGAGTCTTTGCATGGTGTGGGGAGATCAACCTGGGGTGGCCCCTTTCCCCACTTCTTTCCACCCCCTTTCCATCCCAAGAGGATGGAAGAGTCCAGCATTCTGCTCTCACAGTGGCCTTTTCTGTAGTGTCCTTCCTGCACTCATAGCCCAGGTGGCTGATGGAGGCTTGCTTTCCTCTCCGGAGCCTCACTTGCTATGGGGCAGAGCTGAGGGGGCGCAGTGTTCTTCACTGCTAGATGCTCTGCATTATATGATCCGGTGGGATGCCTTAGCAGCCCTGTGACATGTTTCCTGGAACCACAGTGGTCTTTGAGGATGACTCTTTCTCTGTTTGCTCTTCTTCAGGGGGGACAAGAAGGTGATCTGCAACAAATTCATTCAGACGGTAAGACCCAGCACGCAGTCTCCATGTGCCTGCGGAGACCCTCAAGGCTGCTGTTGGGGCCTCCTCACCTCCAGGTTTTCATTACTGGGCAGTTGGGAGTTATCAAACTCCAGGGGATGTGCCCAGGGTGGTTCCCAGTTACAGAAAACATGAGCCTTTCACCCAAGAACTCACCAACAGGGTTGCAGATAAAGCTCAGTCCAGACAAGCCAAGGCCAAGCGCAGAGAACCAGTCTTGGTCCCAACATGATTCAGAGACAAAGTCTCTCCTCTCTTCTCTCCTGTCCTCCTTTTTTCTGCTGGGCAGGACCCCCACTCTCTTGTGGGCTGGAGGGGAGGGGGCAGCATCAAAAGGGCTCTGTGAGAGAAGCCTCCTCTTCCAGACACCACCTTCAAAGGAGCCAGGTGCCTCTTTGCAGCTCCTCCTCCTCGAGCCCCCCCATTGGAGGTGGAGCTGGGCCTCCTCCCTGCCTGCTTTCCTCCTCCTGACCCCCTTCTTTTTGCCCTGTTCCCCACCAGAGCGCTGTGACTTGCTTGCTGTGGCCGGAGGAAAACACCATTGTCTTTGGGCTTGTTGAGGGCAAGGTAGGAGGGGCCTGGCCGCCGGGCTTCCACCTCTTAGCTCCTGGAGTGGGAAAGAGCCCGCCTGGAGCCTCCTGCGGAGGAGACCCTCCCTCTGGCCCTGACGCCACCTGGGGCTCCGTCTTCTCCCTGGCTTGTTGCCCTGGAGGGAGTGGGGGGTTTTGGAGGCGCCTCTTCTCTCGCTTTGCTCCCTTGCACATCAAAGGCTGACCAGACTTATCTCTCTGGAAGGTTCGCCTGGCCAACACCAAGACCAACAAATCATCCACCATTTATGGGACAGACTCCTACGTCGTCTCCTTGGCCTCCAAGTGAGTGTGGGAGGGTGAAGAAGCCCCACAGGGCAACCCTGACCCCCCAAGTCCCTCTGCCCTGAGGGCAAGGCCCCGCTGGGGCTCCCTGATGACCTCCTTTTGTCTTCCTCCTCCTGCTGCCGCACAGCATCTCAGGGAAGGGAATCCTCTCTGGACACGCAGACGGAACCATCGTGCGCTACTTCTTTGACGATGAAGGCTCTGGGGAGTCACAGGTGCAGGCAGGCTCTCTTCTCTCAGGAGCCCCTTCCCCACCCACCTAGACCAGGGCAGGGGGAGTCATAGAATTATAGAGGGAGAGGAACCCCAAGGGTCATCTAGGCCACCCTCCTGCAATGCACAAAATGCACCCAACCTCTGCTTAAAAACCTCCAGTTAAGGAGACTGGTCACACTGGCTGCCTCTGAGGCATGGAAGGGCCCCAGAGAGCACCTTCGGGTTGGGGAGGTGTTGGTGAGAGGGGAGAATTATTCCCAAGCAGCCGTTTTGCCGAGGTGGGGGGAGGGGCTGCTTTCATCAGGGAGCTCATGGGGGTCTCTCTCTCACACTTGTTTCAAAGCCCTTGTGTGCTCTTTGCTTGTACCAAGCGGGGGGAGATTAGTCCCAGCAAGGCTGCCCCCACCATCCTCCAGCAACGCCTACTATCACACTAAAGTCCTGCCCCCCTGGTTTCCCACCTGCACCTAGTGGTGCAGCGCAGGCCTCCCCTGGCATTCAGAGAAGCGAAAGGCCAGGTGTTGCAGCCCCACCCCCTGGCTGAGCTAGGTGGGGAGAGCAGAGAGTTTGCCGCTGCCTAGGGGTCTCAGCTGGCTTTAGCAGCAGGGGGAGCAGATCTCTTTCTCCCTCCGGCTTTTCATTGCTCCCTGTTTCTTGCTCCTGGTGCCTGGACAGGGCAAGCTGGTGATCCACCCCTGCCCCCCCTACGCCATGGCCTGGGCCTCAAACAGCATTGTGGCCGCCGGCTGCGACAAAAAGATGGTGGCCTACGGGAAGGAGGGCCACGTCATCCAGACCTTCGACTACAGCCGGGACTCTTCCGAGAAGGAGTTCACGGTGGCGGCAGCCAGCCCTGGGGGCCAGTCCGTGGTCATTGGCAGCTTTGACAGGTGCGGCTGAGCCAGAGGGCGGGGGGAAGGGCGCTGCGCTGGGGGGCAGGCCTGCTCCCCCTCGGACCCTCACTGCCTGCCCCCTTGATTTCCCCAGGCTGAGGGTGCTGAACTGGAGCCCCCGTCGGAGTGCCTGGGAGGAAGCCAAGCCCAAGGAGATCCCTCACCTCTACACCATCACCGCCTTGGCCTGGAAGCGGGACGGCTCGCGGCTCTGCGCGGTGAGTGGGGCCTTCCCTGCCGGATCGTGCCCGCTTGATGCAGCTTCCCTGCAGGGCGTCTCGGGTTGGCGGGCAGGAAGGGCCTGAGGGGTTGTGGGCTGAAAAGGCTTTTGTTCCTGCAGGGCACCCTCTGTGGCGGAGTGGAGCAGTTTGACTGCTGCCTGCGCAGGAGCATTTACAAGAACAAGTTTGAGATGACCTACGTGGGGCCCAGCCAGGTATGTGTTGCGGTCGTAGGGCAGTGACCTCTGGCTGCAGTGGTGGGCTCTGGCCATGGACTGTGGGGTGGAAGAAGGGGGAGGGGGCTGCTGGAGGGAGGGCAGGTAGCCCAGAGGAAGGCCTGTCCTGCTCCTTTCACTCCTTGCTTCTCTTACTCAGGAGAAGTGTAAGAAAATGTTCTCTAAGCAAAGGTCAGTTTTGCTGCAGATCAAGATGCAAGCAAGGTCCTTGATTTGCTAAGGGGCTGAAAGAGTGATGAGCAAATTGCAGGGGCTACACTCTGTGCCAAAAAATTGTATTAAATAGTTAGTGTGGTCCAAGCCAATTTTCGGGAAAATAAAAGCTGTGTCCATCCAAAACTGTTCATGAGC